AGGTGGTAATTACCATGTGTGGTGAAGGTGGTAATTACCATGTGTGGTGAAAGTGGAATTACCATGTGTGGTGAAGGTGTAATTACCTGTGTGGTGAAGTGATAATTACCATGTGGGTGAAGGTGGTAATTACCATGTGTGGTGAAGGTGGTAATTACCATGTGTGGTGAAGGTGGTAATTACCATGTGTGGTGAAGGTGGTAATTACCATGTGTGGTGAAGGTGGTAATTACCATGTGTGGTGAAGGTGGTAATTACCATTGTGTGGTGAAGGTGGTAATTACCATGTGTGGTGAAGGTGGTAATTACCATGTGTGGTGAAGGTGGTAATTACCATTTGTGAAGGTGGTAATTACCATGGTGGGAGGTGGTAATTACCATGTGTGGTGAAGGTGGTAATTACCATGTGTGGAAGGTGGTAATTACCATGTGTGTGAAGGTGGTAATTACCATGTGTGGTGAAGGTGGTAATTACCATGTGTGGTGAAGGTGGTAATTACCATGTGTGTGAAGGTGGTAATTACCATGTGTGGTGAAGGTGGTAATTACCATGTGTGGTGAAGGTGGTATTACCATGTGTGGTGAAGGTGGTAATTACCATGTGTGGTGAAGGTGGTAATTACCATGTGTGGTGAAGGTGGGTAATTACCATGTGTGGTGAAGGTGGTAATTACCATGTGTGGTGAAGGTGGTAATTACCATGTGTGGTGAAGGTGTAATTACCATGTGGGTGAAGGTGGTAATTACCATGTGTGGTGAAGGTGGTAATTACCATGTGTGGTGAAGGTGGTAATTACCATGTGTGGTGAAGGTGGTAATTACCATGTGTGGTGAAGGTGGTAATTACCATGTGTGGTGAAGGTGGTAATTACCATGTTGGTGAAGGTGGTAATTACCATGTGTGGTGAAGGTGGAATTACCATGTGTGGTGAAGGTGGTAATTACCATGTGTGGTGAAGGTGGTAATTACCATGTGTGGTGAAGGTGGTAATTACCATGTGTGGTGAAGGTGGTAATTACCATGTGTGGTGAAGGTGGTAATTACCATGTGTGGTGAAGGTGGTAATTACCATGTGTGGTGAAGGTGGTAATTACCATGTGTGAAGGTGGTAATTACCATGTGTGAAGGTGGTAATTACCATGTGTGGTGAAGGTGGTAATTACCATGTGTGGTGAAGGTGGTAATTACCATGTGTGTGGTGAAGGTGGTAATTACCATGTGTTGGTGAAGGTGGTAATTACCATGTGTGGTGAAGGTGGTAATTACCATGTGTGGTGAAGGTGGTAATTACCATTTTGGTGAAGGTGGTAATTACCATGTGTGGTGAAGGTGGTAATTACCATGTGTGGTGAAGGTGGTAATTACCATGTGTGGTGAAGGTGGTAATTACCATTTGTGAAGGTGGTAATTACCATGTGTGGTGAAGGTGGTAATTACCATGTGTGGTGAAGGTGGTAATTACCATGTGTGGTGAAGGTGGTAATTACCATGTGTGAAGGTGGTAATTACCATGTGTGTGTGAAGGTGGTAATTACCAGTGTGGTGAAGGTGGTAATTACCATGTGTGGAAGGTGGTAATTACATGTGTGGTGAAGGTGGTAATTACCATGTGTGGTGAAGGTGGTAATTACCATGTGTGGTGAAGTGGTAATTACCATGTGTGGTGAAGGTGGTAATTACCATGTGTGGTGAAGGTGGTAATTACCATGTGTGGTGAAGGTGGTAATTACCATGTGTGGTGAAGGTGGTAATTACCATGTGTGGTGAAGGTGGTAATTACCATGTGTGGTGAAGGTGGTAATTACCATGTGTGGTGAAGGTGGTAATTACCATGTGTGGTGAAGGTGGTAATTACCATGTGTGGTGAAGGTGGAATTACCATGTGTGGTGAAGGTGGTAATTACCATGTGTGGTGAAGGTGGTAATTACCATGTGTGGTGAAGGTGGTAATTACCATGTGTGGTGAAGGTGGAATTACCATGTGTGGTGAAGGTTGGTATTACCATGTGTGGTGAAGGTGGTAATTACCATGTGTGGTGAAGGTGGTAATTACCATGTGTGGTGAAGGTGGTAATTACCATGTGTGTGAAGTGGGTAATTACCATGTGTGGTGAAGGTGGTAATTACATGTGTGGTGAAGGTGTAATTACCATGTGTGGTGAAGGTGGTAATTACCATGTGGGTGAAGGTGGTAATTACCATGTGTGGTGAAGGTGGTAATTACCATGTGTGGTGAAGGTGGTAATTACCTATGTGTGGTGAAGGTGGTAATTACCATGTGTGGTGAAGGTGGTAATTACCATGTTGGTGAAGGTGGTAATTACCATGTGTGGTGAAGGTGTAATTACCATGTTTGGTGAAGGTGGTAATTACCATGTGTGGTGAAGGTGGTAATTACCATGTGTGGTGAAGGTGGTAATTACCATGTGTGGTGAAGGTGGTAATTACCATGTGTGGTGAAGGTGGTAATTACCATGTGTGAAGGTGGTAATTACCATGTGTGGTGAAGGTGGTAATTACCATGTGTGGTGAAGGTGGTAATTACCATGTGTGGTGAAGGTGGTAATTACCATGTGTGAAGGTGGTAATTACCATGTGTGGTGAAGGTGGTAATTACCATGTGTGAAGGTGGTAATTACCATGTGTGAAGGTGGTAATTACCATGTGTGGTGAAGGTGGTAATTACCATGTGTGGTGAAGGTGGTAATTACCATGTGTGGTGAAGGTGGTAATTACCATGTGTGGTGAAGGTGGTAATTACCATGTGTGGTGAAGGTAGTAATTACCATGTGTGGTGAAGGTGGTAATTACCATGTGTGGTGAAGGTGGTAATTACCATGTGTGGCGAAGGTGGTAATTACCATGTGTGGTGAAGGTGGTAATTTCCATGTGTGGTGAAGGTGGTAATTACCATGTGTGGTGAAGGTGGTAATTACCATGTGTGGTGAAGATGGTAATTACCATGTGTGGTGAAGGTGGTAATTACCATGTGTGGTGAAGGTGGTAATTACCATGTGTGGTGTAGGTGGTAATTACCATGTGTGGTGAAGGTGGTAATTACCATGTGTGGTGAAGGTGGTAATTACCATGTGTGAAGGTGGTAATTACCATGTGTGGTGAAGGTGGTAATTACCATGTGTGAAGGTGGTAGTTACCATGTGTGAAGGTGGTAGTTACCATGTGTGAAGGTGGTAGTTACCATGTGTGAAGGTGGTAGTTACCATGTGTGAAGGTGGTAGTTACCATGTGTGAAGGTGGTAGTTACCATGTGTGGTGAAGGTGGTAATTACCATGTGTGGTGAAGGTGGGAATTACCATGTGTGGTGAAGGTGGTAATTACCATGTGTGGTGAAGGTGGTAATTACCATGTGTGGTGAAGGTGGTAATTACCATGTGTGGTGAAGGTGGTAATTACCATGTGTGGTGAAGGTGGTAATTATCATGTGTGGTGAAGGTGGTAATTACCATGTGTGGTGAAGGTGGTAATTACCATGTGTGGTGAAGGTGGTAATTACCATGTGTGGTGAAGGTGGTAATTACCATGTGTGGTGAAGGTGGTAATTACCATGTTTGGTGAAGGTGGTATTTACCATGTGTGAAGGTGGTAATTACCATGTGTGGTGAAGGTGGTAATTACCATGTGTGGTGAAGGTGGTAATTACCTTGTGTGGTGAAGGTGGTAATTACCATGTGTGGTGAAGGTGGTAATTATCATGTGTGGTGAAGGTGGTAATTACCATGTGTGGTGAAGGTGGTAATTATCATGTGTGGTGAAGGTGGTAGTTGCCATGTGTGGTGAAGGTGGTAATTATCATGTGTGGTGAAGGTGATAATTACCATGTGTGGTGAAGGTAGTAATTATCATGTGTGGTGAAGGTGATAATTACCATGTGTGGTGAAGGTAGTAATTATCATGTGTGGTGAAGGTGGTAATTTACCATGTGTGGTGAAGGTGTAATTACATGTGTGGTGAAGGTGGTAATTACCATGTGTGGTGAAGGTGGTAATTACCTTGTGTGGTGAAGGTGGTAATTACCATGTGTGGTGAAGGTGGTAATTATCATGTGTGGTGAAGGTGGTAATTACCATGTGTGGTGAAGGTGGTAATTATCATGTGTGGTGAAGGTGGTAGTTGCCATGTGTGGTGAACGTGGGAATTATCAGTGTGATAGTAGAAGTAACAGTCGTAGTATTATCAGTATTATCAGTATTACTATCAGTAATAATAGAAGTAACAGTAGTAATAGTATCAGTAGTATTATCAGCAGTAATAGTAGATGATGCAGTAGTATCAGCAGTAATAGTAGTAGTAACAATAGTATTATCAGCTGAAATACTAGCAACAGTAGCAATAGTTAAATAGTATTATTTAAGAGTAACAATAGTAGTAGTTACAGTAGTATTGTCAGCAGTGATAGTAGAAGTAACAATAGTATTATCAGCAGTAATAATAGTTGCAGTAAGAATAATAATAGTAGTAGTTACAGTAGTATTATCATCAATAATAGTAACAGTAGTAATAGTTGGCATGGTATTATCTGCAGTAATAGTACAAGTAACAACAGTAGTACTTTCAGCACTTTTATCAGTAGTAATGGTAATAGTAATAACAGTAGTAGTAATAGTTGTAGTAGTAATAGTAAGATCAGCAGTAATATTCGAAGTGATAGTATTATCAGATAGTATTATCAGTATTAATAGTAACTAAATAATTAAACTTCCATCAAATAATATTTTTATGGTTCCAATAGCTATTTGATAGTTAATTTTCTATTAAAATTTCAACTAAATTTCTACTTCAGCTAATTTTTAATTACTACGTTAACTAATTAACTAATTAACTAAATCTTGTCTTAATACGCGATCAATACATCAACTTCCATCACAAATATTCTCACCAAATATTCTCACCAAATATTCTCACCAAATATTCTCACCATAAACAGCAACAATCACATTAAACAAGTTTGTGTAATGTGTCTCCTTGACCTTTACTGACCTGACAGGCGGCATCAGGGTCAGCGTATATTCCGGGTAAAAGGTCATGGCAGGTGAAGGAGGTGGTAGGGACCTGTCTCAGGGTTGGGTAGTCTTTACCAGCCACCCCGAAGATGCAGTCGGCGTCCGGGTCGTTCTCTGTAGACTCGCATTTGTAGTCGTATACCTGGTAAGTAAATAAGTAAGTTGTTTTAAGTACCGGTACACTACTACAATTATCGTATATATAACATATCGTAACTTAATCACCAGGATATCCCAGAAAAAAGTCAAAGTGAATGTCTCGATAGGAAATCAGCAGGTGAGGTAGAAAGTGTGTACATAAATACCTGTGTGTACATTTCTGTGTGTGAAAATGTTAGTACACACACGAACGTGTAAATATGAAAGCATGTTCATGTATGTATACACTTATTCTTACAAACTTGCATGTACACACACACACACACACACACACACACACACACACACACACACATACACACACACACACACACACACACACACACACACACACACACACACACACAAGCACACACCCCCACACACACACGAGCACACATAGGAAGCAGGAACCATACATAGCTTTAAGATGAGGTATGATAAAGCTCATGGAGCAGGGAGAAAGAGGACCTTGTAGCACTCAGTGAAGAGGCGGGGCCAGAAGCTGAGTCTCGACCCCTGCAACCACAATTAAGTGAATTAGGTGGGTGAGTATATATACACATGCACACGCACACACACACAGGGGTGGAGCACCTAGAAAGGAATGAGCTTATCAGTGACAGCCAGCACAGTTTCAGGGACGGGAAATCCTGTGTCACAAACCTACTGGAGTTCTATGATAGGGTGACAGCAGTAGGCCAAGAGAGAGGTGTGGGTAGTTTGCATTTTCTTGGACTGAAAGAATGCATTTGACACAGTTCCACACAAGAGATTAGTGTGGAAGCTGGAGGACCAAGCAGGGATAACAGGGAAGGCACTACAGAGGATCAGGGAATACCTGTTAGGAAGACAATAGCGAGTCATGGTATGTTTCAAGGTGGAAATAAATGGTATAAAATACCCTGCTCGGTAACGAGCAGGGTGCCACAGGGATCAATCCTAGGACCGGTGCTGTTTCTGGTATTTGTGAACGACATGACAGAAGGAATAGATTCCGAAGTGTCCCTGTTTGCTGATGTGAAGTTGATGAGAAGAATTCAATCGGCCGACGATCAGGCAGAACTACAGAGTAATTAGACACATGTGCAACTCTTGGGTATCTTTACTGAGGAAACGTTTCGCCACACAGTGGCTTCATCAGCCCATACAAAGGAGAAACCTGAAGAGGAGGAGAATGAGGTCCCTCAACCTTGAGTCGATGTGGTCAGTCCATCAATCTTAAATAGAATACGTCATATGAGCGGAGAAGCAGCTTATAAACCGTAGGCAGGAGAGGTGCAGCAGACGTAGGTGGTGTCCCATTTGTCCAATGTGGAAGTAGGTCGTGCCCAAGGGTTAGGCAAGCGAAGAATTCCCAAGTATTAAGATCCCAAGAAGTTGCAGTGTCTGACAAGATTGTAGATGAATGGTTCAGAGAACCGACATGTTGATAAATTAGACACATGTGCAACTCTTGGGTATGAAAATTAAGACACATGTGCAACTCTTGGGTATGAAAATTAAGACACATGTGCAACATCTGGATATCTTTATTGTAGACGTTTCGCCATCCAGTTTCTTTATCAATACAGATTCTAGGACATAATTGGAAGACAGTAGAACTATATACAAAAGATGAGGTAATCAGTCCCTCAGCCTTGGAGTTAGTGTTCACAGAATCGTGGTGGAGGAGAATCTGGAGCAAAGGCAAGAAGACTGGCGGTTATATAGGCGTCAGTGGATAAGGACGGGCAGCAGACGAGGGCATAGTCACTGGTAGGCGGGATTCCCCAGTGGAAGTAGGTCCTACCCAAAGAGATGGGTTAGTTGCAGCAGCCGTGAAGAAGGTCTTGTAGATGTCCTCTGAACCAAGATTCCATGATGATGCAGTGTCTGACAAGTTGTGCAAGAAAGGTATAAAATACCGACGAAACGTCTACAATAAAGATATCCAGATGTTGCACATGTGTCTTAACCTTCATATTGTCGGTATTTTATACCTTTCTTGCACAACTCTTGGGTGTCTTTATCGAGGAAACGTTTCGCCACACAGTGGCTTCGGGAGTAGAAAGACTCTGGAAACTCATCAGAGGTAAGGTATAGTCCATGGTTAAACAAAGAGAAGTTAACAGGGAATAATTAAGCATGAAGAATTGAGACACTTATGCAACACATGGGAATCTTTATTGAAGAAACGTTTCGCCACACAGTGGCTTCATCAGTCCAATACAAAGTAGAAATGGGTAAGGAGAGTAGAAGTTTGAGGTAATCAGTCCTCAACCTGGAATCGATGTGTTCAGTCCATCACTCTTGTAGTGATGGACAAGAGTGATGGACTGAACACATCGATTCCAGGTTGAGGGACTGATTACCTCATACTTCTACTCTCCTTACCCATTTCTACTTTGTATTGGACTGATGAAGCCACTGTGTGGCGAAACGTTTCTTCAATAAAGATTCCCATGTGTTGCATAAGTGTCTCAATTCTTCAACTTGTCGGTTTTCAAAACCATTCATCACACACAAATAATAAAGAATGGAGAAATTGGGAGTAAAGAGAGGTTGAGACATCAGGGAGTGAAACAGAAGACTTAAGAATTAATGTGTCAAGATTCGTAAACTGAAGGAGGACGGAGAACTCATGGAAGATGCTGGAGAGATGTTATAGGAACTGAGATGAAGGTTGAAGGAAGTATTCACTGAGGAAACATGAAGACCGTCCGTAAGGATGTGTGACGGAAGAGATCAGATGAACCTAGACACCATCCAAACATCGAAAGGAAATTGTTGAAACATTTAAGAAACTGGATACCACCAAAGCTAAGATATATCTCCATGAAGGAAGATATATCTCCATGAAGGAAGATACGTCTCCATGAAGGAAGATATATCTCCATGAAGGAAGATATATCTCCGTGAAGGAAGATATATCTCCATGAAGGAAGATATATCTCCATGAAGGAAGATATATCTCCGTGAAGGAAGATATATCTCCATGAAGGAAGATATATCTCCGTGAAGGAAGATATATCTCCGTGAAGGAAGATATATCTCCATGAAGGAAGATATATCTCCGTGAAGGAAGATATATCTCCATGAAGGAAGATATATCTCCGTGAAGGAAGATATATCTCCATGAAGGAAGATATATCTCCATGAAGGAAGATATATCTCCATGAAGGAAGATACGTCTCCATGAAGGAAGATATATCTCCATGAAGGAAGATATATCTCCATGAAGGAAGATACGTCTCCATGAAGGAAGATATATCTCCATGAAGGAAGATATATCTCCATGAAGGAAGATATATCTCCATGAAGGAAGATATATCTCCATGAAGGAAGATATATCTCCATGAAGGAAGATACGTCTCCGTGAAGGAAGATACGTCTCCGTGAAGGAAGATACGTCTCCATGAAGGAAGATATATCTCCATGAAGGAAGATATATCTCCATGAAGGAAGATACGTCTCCGTGAAGGAAGATACGTCTCCATGAAGGAAGATACGTCTCCGTGAAGGAAGATACGTCTCCGTGAGTATTGAAGGAAGGAGGCAGAGAAAAAGAAATCCTATTACAGTTATAAAAGAAATCACTGAAAAACTGCCAACGTTGTCCTGATTTACAAGTAGCAAGATAGAGGAGAAGTTCGTCCTTAAGGACCAGCATTACTCACATGTATATTCAGCAAAGTGCTGCTAAAACATAAGCGGACAAAAAAAAAAAATAGGATGGATCTGAAATAGAGGAATGTCGCTGAAGGGAAAAAATGGTGAAGATCTGCCTTACGGACTCGATGGAATTCTATTAATGAATATTGGAAATTAAGCAGAGACAAAAATGCGTCTACTGCATATACTTCAACTGCAGTTGATGCAGTACCGGAGATTGTTACACAAATAGAAAGAGCAGGGAAGGGTGCTTAAAAAATACTTTAATACATCAATGAATACCTAACATATTGATGACGGAGTAGCAGTATAGGAGACAACATCAAAATAAGTGTTAATAATCAGCTGGATCTCTCAAGAGTCAAAACTAGAATCTTTTATTTAATAAATATAAATAATCACATGGGGAGATAATTTATTAAGTACCACCGTTTTCTGATGATGAAAAATTAGTGTCAGGTATGACAACAATGGTGATGGCAGACAAGCAACACAACTTTAACAAACAACAATAGTGATGGCAGACAAGCAACACAACTTTAACAAACAACAATGGTGATGGCAGACAAGCAACACAACTTTAACAAACAACAATAGTGATGGCAGACAAGCAACACAACTTTAACAAACAACAATGGTGATGGCAGACAAGCAACACAACTTCAACAAACAACAATGGTGATGGCAGACAAGCAACACAACTTCAACAGACAACAATGGTGATGGTAGACAAGCAACACAACTTTAACAAACAACAATGGTGATGGCAGACAAGCAACACAACTTCAACAAACAACAATGGTGATGGCAGACAAGCAACACAACTTCAACAAACAACAATGGTGATGACAGACAAGCAACACAACTTTAACAAACAACAATGGTGATGGCAGACAAGCAACACAACTTCAACAAACAACAATGGTGATGACAGACACAACACAACTTTAACAAACAACAATGGTGATGGCAGACAAGCAACACAACTTCAACAAACAACAATGGTGATGGTAGACAAGCAACACAACTTTAACAAACAACAATGGTGATGGCAGACAAGCAACACAACTTCAACAAACAACAATGGTGATGGCAGACAAGCAACACAACTTCAACAAACAACAATGGTGATGGCAGACAAGCAACACAACTTTAACAAACAACAATGGTGATGGCAGACAAGCAACACAACTTTAACAAACAACAATGGTGATGGCAGACAAGCAACACAACTTTAACAAACAACAATGGTGATGGCAGACAAGCAACACAACTTTAACAAACAACAATGGTGATGGCAGACAAGCAACACAACTTCAACAAACAACAATGGTGATGACAGACAAGCAACACAACTTTAACAAACAACAATGGTGATGACAGACAAGCCACACAACTTCAACAAACAACAATGGTGATGGCAGACAAGCCACACAACTTCAACAAACAACAATGGTGATGGCAGACAAGCCACACAACTTCAACAAACAACAATGGTGATGGCAGACAAGCCACACAACTTCAACAAACAACAATGGTGATGGCAGACAAGCAACACAACTTCAACAAACAACAATGGTGATGGCAGACAAGCAACACAACTTCAACAAAGAACAATGGTGATGGCAGACAAGCCACACAACTTCAACAAACAACAATGGTGATGGCAGACAAGCCACACAACTTCAACAAACAACAATGGTGATGGCAGACAAGCCACACAACTTCAACAAACAACAATGGTGATGGCAGACAAGCCACACAACTTCAACAAACAACAATGGTGATGGCAGACAAGCAACACAACTTCAACAAACAACAATGGTGATGGCAGACAAGCAACACAACTTCAACAAACAACAATGGTGATGGCAGACAAGCCACACAACTTCAACAAACAACAATGGTGATGGCAGACAAGCAACACAACTTTAACAAACAACAATGGTGATGGCAGACAAGCAACACAACTTTAACAAACAACAATGGTGATGGCAGACAAGCAACACAACTTCAACAAACAACAATGGTGATGGCAGACAAGCAACACACAACTTTAACAAAACAACAATGGTGATGGCAGAGAAGCCACACAACTTCAACAAACAACAATGGTGATGGCAGACAAGCAACACAACTTTAACAAACAACAATGGTGATGGCAGACAAGCCACACAACTTTAACAAACAACAATGGTGATGGCAGACAAGCCACACAACTTTAACAAACAACAATGGTGATGGCAGACAAGAAACACAACTTCAACAAACAACAATGGTGATGGCAGACAAGCCACACAACTTTAACAAACAACAATGGTGATGGCAGACAAGCAACACAACTTTAACAAACAACAATGGTGATGGCAGACAAGGAACACAACTTTAACAAACAACAATGGTGATGGCAGACAAGCCACACAACTTCAACAAACAACAATGGTGATGGCAGACAAGCAACACAACTTCAACAAACAACAATGGTGATGGCAGACAAGCAACACAACTTCAACAAACAACAATGGTGATGGCAGACAAGCAACACAACTTCAACAAACAACAATGGTGATGGCAGACAAGCAACACAACTTCAACAAACAACAATGGTGATAGCAGACAAGCCACACAACTTCAACAAACAACAATGGTGATGGCAGACAAGCAACACAACTTCAACAAACAACAATGGTGATGGCAGACAAGCAACGCAACTTCAACAAACAACAATGGTGATGGCAGACAAGCAACACAACTTTAACAAACAACAATGGTGATGGCAGACAAGCAACACAACTTCAACAAACAACAATGGTGATGGCAGACAAGCAACACAACTTCAACAAACAACAATGGTGATGGCAGACAAGCAACACAACTTCAACAAACAACAATGGTGATGGCAGACAAGCAACACAACTTCAACAAACAACAATGATGATGGCAGACAAGCAACACAACTTCAACAAACAACAATGGTGATGGCAGACAAGCAACACAACTTCAACAAACAACAATGATGATGGCAGACAAGCAACACAACTTCAACAAACAACAATGATGATGGCAGACAAGCAACACAACTTCAACAAACAACAATGATGATGGCAGACAAGCAACACAACTTCAACAAACTGCACAAGAGTTTAAGTAACTCTTATATTTTAACGCAGTATTTCCAGACATCTACAAGATAATTTATATCGGAAAGTGAGAAGGAAAGAGAGATAAAGTTGTTGTACTGGAAGTTGTTGTACTGGAAGTTGTTGTACTGGAAGTTGTTGTACTGGAAGTTGTTGTACTGGAAGTTGTTGTACTGGAAGGGAATCAAAATATCTGAGTTAAAAATGATATATTACATATTTCAGTAATAAATCAAGTGACTCCAAACTGCAAGTGAAACCTCTACATGTGATGTAACCTTTGTACATCACTAGAGTGAAACCTCTACATGTGATGTAACCTTTGTACATCACTAGAGTGAAACCTCTACATGTGATGTAACCTTTGTACATCACTAGAGTGAAACCTGTACATGTGATGTAACCTTTGTACATCACTAGAGTGAAACCTCTACATGTGATGTAACCTTTGTACATCACTAGAGTGAAACCATCTACATGTGATGTAACCTTTGTACATCACTAGAGTGAAACCTGTACATGTGATGTAACCTTGTACATCACTAGAGTGAAACCTGTACATGTGATGTAACCTTTGTACATCACTAGAGTGAAACCTGTACATGTGATGTAACCTTTGTACATCACTAGAGTGAAACCTCTACATGTGATGTAACCTTTGTACATCATTAGAGTGAAACCTGTACATGTGATGTAACCTTTGTACATCACTAGAGAGAATCCTCTACATGTGATGTAACCTTTGTACATCACTAGAGTGAAACCTGTACATGTGATGTAACCTTTGTACATCACTAGAGTGAAACCTGTACATGTGATGTAACCTTTGTACATCACTAGAGTGAAACCTGTACATGTGATGTAACCTTTGTACATCACTAGAGTGAAACCTCTACATGTGATGTAACCTTTGTACATCACTAGAGTGAAACCTGTACATGTGATGTAACCTTTGTACATCACTAGAGAGAAACCTCTACATGTGATGTAACCTTTGTACATCACTAGAGTGAAACCTGTACATGTGATGTAACCTTTGTACATCACTAGAGTGAAACCTTACATGTGATGTAACCTTTGTACATCACTAGATGAAACCTCTACATGTGATGTAACCTTTGTACATCACTAGAGTGAAACCTCTACATGTGATGTAACCTTTGTACATCACTAGAGTGAAACCTCTACATGTGATGTAACTTTGTACATCACTAGAGTGAAAACCTCTACAGTGATGTAACCTTTGTACATCACTAGAGGAGAAACCTCTACATGTGATGTAACCTTTGTACATCACTAGAGAGAAACCTCTACATGTGATGTAACCTTTGTACATCACTGAGAGAGAAACCTCTACATGTGATGTAACCTTTGTACATCACTAGAGTGAAACCTCTACATGTGATGTAACCTTTGTACATCACTAGAGAGAAACCTCTACATGTGATGTAACCTTTGTACATCACTAGAGAGAAACCTCTACATGTGATGTAACCTTTGTACATCACTAGAGAGAAACCTGTACATGTGATGTAACCTTTGTACATCACTAGAGTGAAACCTCTACATGTGATGTAATCTTTGTACATCACTAGAGAGAAACCTGTACATGTGATGTAACCTTTGTACATCACTAGAGAGAAACCTCTACATGTGATGTAACCTTTGTACATCACTAGAGAGAAGCCTCTACATGTGATGTAACCTTTGTACATCACTAGAGAGAAACCTCTACATGTGGTGTAACCTTTGTCGTACCATATAAGCCAGACCGGAGACTTGGGCCTAAAAAGCATGGAAGTTTTCTGCTGAATTAACAAGAGTAAAAAAAAAAATCCCATAAATCTGCAAAAATCAATTAGAACATGAAGAAGAAAATTTAGTTGATTTGTAGTAATAAATAAATAAATGTATACTGACCTATGACATATATAGCAGAATTTAATTAAAAATAAATAAGAGATAATTGTAGTAGACTGACCTGTGGCGGAGCCTCTGGGGAATACTGTGCTGTGGCAGTGTTGGAGATTGTCGCCATCATCATAGTTACTGCCGTCACCGTCACCAACACAACGCCTCTCCAACCCACTGTTCAGAAAAGTAGCTTCGTTAACTTATATATGTTGCATTGAATTGTATTTTATTGTGTTTGAGCCTGTACTTACCTTTTTGTGGTTGCAGGGGTCGATTCATAGCTCCTGGTCCCGCCTCTTCACTGATTGCTACTGGGTCCTCTCTCTTCCTGCTCCATGAGCTTTATCATACCTCGTCTTAAAACTATGTATGGTTCCCCCCTCCACTACGTCACTTTCTAGGCTATTCCACTGCCTGACTACTGTGTGACCGAAGAAATACTTCCTAACATCCCTCTGACTCATCTGAATCTTCAACTTCCAATTGTGGTCCCTTGTTACTGTGTCCCATCTCTGGAACATCCTGTCTTTGTCCACCTTGTCAATTCCTTTCAGTATTTTGTATGTCGTTGTCATGTTCCCCCTATCTCTCCTTTCCTCCAGTGTCGTCAGGTAGATTTCCTTTAACCTCTAATAGTAGGACATACCCCTTAGCTCTGGGACTAGTCTTGTTGCAAACCTTTGCACTTTCTCTAGTTTCTTTACGTGCTTGGCTAGGTGTGGGTTCCAAACTGGTGCCGCATACTCCAATATGGGCCTAACGTACACGGTGTACAGGGTCCTGAACGATTCCTTATTAAGATGTTGGAATGCTGTTCTGAGGTTTGCTAGGCGCCCATATGCTCCAGCAGTTATTTGGTTGATTTGTGCCTCAGGGATGTGCCTGGTGTTATACTCACCCCAAGATCTTTTTCCTGGAGTGAGGTTTGTAGTCTCTGACCCCCTAGACTGTACTCCGTCTGCGGTCTTCTTTGCCCTTCCCCAATCTTCATTACTTTAGCACTTGGTGGAGTTGAACTCCAGGAGCCAGTTGCTGGACCAGGTCTGCAGTCTGTCCAGATCCCTTTGTAGTTCTGTCTGGTCTTCGATCGAATTAATTCTTCTCATCAACTTCACGTCATCTGCAAACAGGGACACTTCTGAGTCTATTCCTTCCGTCATGTCGTTCACAAATACCAGAAACAGCACTGGTCCTAGGACTGACCCCTGTGGGACCTCGCTGGTCACAGGCGCCCACTCTGAAACCTCGCCACGTACCATGACTCGCTGCTGTCTTCCTGTGTGTGTGTGTGTACTCACCTAGTTGAGGTTGCGGGGGTCGAGTCCGAGCTCCTGGCGTGTGTGTGTGTGTGTGTGTGTGTGTGTGGTGTGGTGTGTGTGTGTGTGTGTGTGTGTGTGTGTGTGTGTGTGTGTGTGCGTGCGTGCGTGTATTCACCTAGTTGTACTCACCTAGTTGTGGTTGCAGGGGTTGAGGCATAGCTCGTGGCCCAGCCTCTTCACTGCCCACTACTGGGTCACTCTCCTTGCACCATGAGCTATATTCTACCTCTGCTTAAAGCTATAAATGGATCCTGCCTCTACTACATCGCTTCCCAAACTATTCCACTCGTAGACTGAAGAAATACTTCCTAACATCCCTGTGATCCATCTGAGTCTTCGACTTCCAACTGTGACCCCTTGTTGCTGTGTCCCATCTCTGGAACATCCTGTCTCCAACTTGTCAATTCCTCTGAGTATTTTGTATGTCGTTATCATATTCCCCCTGTCTCTCCTGTCCTGCAGTGTCGTCAGGTCGATTTCCCTTAACCTCTCCTCGTAGGACATGACCCTTAGCTCCGGGACTAATCTTGTTGCGAACCTTCGCACTTTCTCGAATTTCCTTATATGCTTGGCTAGGTGTGGGTTCCAAACTGGTGCTGCATACTCCAATATAGGCCTGATATACCAGGTGTACAGGATTCAGAACGATTCCTTAATGAGATGTCGGAATGCTGTTCTTAGGTTTGCTAGGCGTCAATATGCTGCAGCAGTTATTTGGTTGATGTGCGCTTCAGGAGATGTGCCTGGTGTTATACTCACCCCAAGATCCTCTTCCTTGAGTGAGGTTTGTAGTCTCTGGCTCCCTAGACTGCACTCAATCTGCAGTCTACTTTGCCCTTCCCCAATCTTCATGACTTTGCACTTGGTGGAGTTGAACTCCATGAGCCAGTTTCTGGACCAGGTCTGCAGCCTGTCCAGATCCCTTTGTAGTTCTGCCTGGTCCTCGTCCGATTGAATTCTTCTCATGAACTTCACATGATCTGCAAACAGGGGCACTTCTGAGTCTATTCCTTCTGTCATGTTGTTCACGTATACCAGAAACAGAACCGGTCCTAGGACTGATCCCTGTGAAACCTCTCTCGTCACAGGCGCCCACTCTGACACCTCTTCACGTACCGTGACTCGCTGATGTTTTCCCGACAAGTATTCCCTGATCCATTGAAGTGCCTTCCCTGTTGGTCCTCCAGCTTTTGCACTAATCTCTTGTGAGGAACTGTGTCAAACGCCTTCTTACATTTCAAGAAAACGCAGTCTACCCACCCCTTTCTCTTTTGTCTTATTGCTGTCACCCTATCATAGAACTCCAGTAGGTTTGTGACACAGGATTTCCCGTCCATGAAACCGTACTGGTTGTTGTTGATAAGCTCATTTCTTTCTCGGTGTTCCACCACTCTTCTCCTGATACTCTTCTCCATGACTTTGCATACTATACACGTCAGTGACACTGTGCTTCATGTGACTACATGTGACTCATGGGACTACATTTGCTGTGTGTGTGTATGCGTGTGTGTGTACTCACCTACTTGTACTCACCTATTTGTGGTTGCAGGGGTCGATTCATTGCTCCTGGTCTCGCATCTTCACTGACAGCTACTAGGTCCTCTCATCCCTGCTCCATGAGCTTTATCATACCTCGTCTTAAAACTATGTATGGTTCCTGCCTCCACTTCGTCGCTTGCCAGACTATTCCATTTCCTGACAATTCAGTGACTAAAGAAATACTTCCTAGCATCCCTGTGACTCATGTGACTCTTCAATTTCCAATTGTGACCCCCAGTGTCTGTGTCCCATCTCTGGAACATCCTATCTATGTCCACCTTGTCGATTCCTCGCAGTATTTTGTATGTTGTTATCATGTCTCCCCTGACCTTCCTGTCCTCCAGTGTCGTCAGGCTGATTTCCCTTAACCTTTTTTCGTAGGACATTCCCCTTAGCTCTGGAACTAGTCTTGTTGCAAACCTTTACACTTTCTCTAATTTCTTAACTTGCTTTACCAGTGTGGGTTCCAACTGGTGCTGCATAACCCAGTATGCAGCAAGACTCTGTACACGGTGTACAGAGTCTTGAACGATTCCCCACTGACGAATCGGAACGCTATCCTTAGGTTTGCCAGGCGCCCGTATGCTGCAGCAGTTATCTGGTTGATGTGCGCCTCAGGAGATATGCTCGGTGTTATGCTCACCCCAAGAATATAAAAACACTAGACTCCTTAAACATAAAAACAGTTTATAACATCGCAAAATTATCAGCATACTTTTTTTTGTTCATACTTTTTTAAGTAACAATTGTCTAAAAAAAACAATTTGATTCATAAATAAAAAAAAAACTGACTTCGATCAAATCACTAAAAAAAAAAAAATAATAACACTGGCGCCCAAAATCGATACAAAAATACTACAAATTAAGATACAAAATTTTGAGTTTGAAGCCTCTCAGAACAGGCATTCTCTAGTTACTTTATTGAAAACTATTAAACTTAACAGAACGAAATTTTGAAAGCACAAAGTGAACTCCAAGAATCCTTTAAATAAATCTTTGGAACGGTAGAAGTTTGAAGGTGATCAGGAAAGTAGTGAAATGATTCACTTATTTACAGTTTCCACAAAATTTTAAATTTAAACTAACAGACAATAGTTCTTATTGTGCGCGTTATTCTTCAGTAATTATTTAAAAGTCAGTATCACTATTTATTCAATAAAACTTAGAAATTAGCACATATGACACCCAATAATGTGCACGAAGCATATTCTTCATAACACAACACCGGTGCTGACAATATAGAGATTATCTGGGAACATGATCCAATTATGTTAGGGTTTCCAATGCAAGAAACCTAACTGCAAGAAGCCCCTCGCATGCGTCTTCAGCATTCTGTGCAGAGGAAGCATGACACAGCGGTCATACCACAGTCACTAAAAACAACAGGCAGCCCCATTCCACCAAGGTGGCAGTAAAGCAATTCCAAAGAATCAGAGACCATTAGCACTAACGTTCTCATTCTACGTCTTACGAAAGAATGTAGGTTAAGGGATTTCAGTCTTTGTTCGTATGGAAGATTTCTTATGTGGTAGCGGAGTGGGAATGGAAATTTGAGAATGTGGAACATCACTGATTATTAGAAGTGCTCTATCACTGTATTTTTAACTGGGAAAGAAGTCTCATAAATTTTGCAAAACATATCCGGATTATAGGAAATCCAACTATTACGTAATTTAGGTTCTTGAAGACGGTTATATAATGGAAAAAAAATTGGAAACTAGCTTTTGTAGATTTGTGTTTGCCTCAATACTGCCTGCCAGCCACAAGGTGACGTGTGATCACTTGACTCCTCAGCTTCCTGAAAGTCGTAAATATCTTTCTCTTAATAGTACCCCTATTAAGATAGAGAACTTCTAGTATTCAGTGATGTTCCGCATTCTCAAATTTCCATCCCACTCCACTTTACACTCACATGGAAGCGTTAGTACCACTATACTCTCATACATTCCCCTCTTTGTTTACATGGATAACGTTCTTTATCTCCACAGACTCCTCAGTGCACCACTCACCTTTTTTTTTTCCTCAGTTCTATGATTTACCTCATCTTTCATAGACTCATCTGCTTACAAGTCCACTCCCAAATATCTGAATACATTCACTTCCTCCATACTCTCTCCCTCCAATCTGATATCCAATCATTTATTACCTATTTTTTTAGTTATCCTCATCCCTTGCTCTATGTTCACTTTTAATTTCCTTTGTTTACATACCCATCCAAACTCGTTCACCAACCTCAGCAACTTCTCTTCAGTCTCCCAACAACACAGTGTCGTCACAAAAACAATTGTGACAACTCCTGGGGATTTTTTTATATAA